CTCCAATATGAGGCTTTTCCTCATTCTCTCCTCCCCATCTAACTGTCTCCCTCTCAAATTACCTTGCATTTATTTTATACACACACACACACATACACACACACACACACACACACACACGGATAGATATAGGTCTGCTATGAAAATGAAAACTATCCCTGTCCTCAAGGAGCTTCAGGTCTATCAAGGAGATAACAAGTGTAAGTCTACGTATGCATATGTGTGTGTGTGTATGCTTTCTTTATATACATACATATTTATAATCTATATATGTATGTTATATATACTCATTCATACTTTTATCTTAAAAGCTCCTGGAGGGTAGGGATAGTTTCATTTTTTTGGTCTTTATAAATGTGAGCTCCTATTACCCTAAAACTTAGCAACCTCCTGGCACATAGTAGATATTTAATAAATGCTTGTTTATTGACTGATTTTTTTCCATCCCAATCTCTGTCCTTATATTTGTGAATTTCAACATACAAACTGATGACCCCTCAAACATCTTGGCCTCCAAGTTCAGCACCTGAGCTCCCAGGACACCTATCTCACTCTTCGGTCCCTTAACAGGGATGTTCCAAGTTAGATCTGTCACCTATGACTGCCACTTCCACAATCTTGAGTCCTAGAATTCTCTTCTCTAATTGTAACCTACTGTTCATCCATCTTTTAGCTGTCTCGTTTATCCTAAATCTATTCCTTATCTTTACTACCAACTTGGAAGTAGGTCGCCAATGGAGTGCAAAGCATCTGTTCTTGGCACTATGTTGTTAACAATTTTATCAGCAATTTAAATAAAAGCACAGATGGCACACCCATCATATTTGCAGGTGACAAAATGGTGGAAAGTATAGCTAACACACTGGATTACAAAGTCATTATCCAAAAATATCTTGACAGGTTGTAACACTGGCTAAATCTAATAAGATGAAATTTATTAAGGATAAATATAAAGTCCTACAACTGGACTAAAAAAAATCAACTTCAACAAATAGAGAACCACAGATAGCAACTGATCTGAAAATATCTGGGGGTTTTAGTTTACTACAAGCTTAACGTGTCACCAATATGATATGGCAGTCCAAAAAACCCCAATATGTTAGGCTACATTTTGAGAGGTATAGGGTCCAACTATGCTAGCTGACTCTATACTCTATCCCAAGCCGACCTATATGCATATTTCAGAAAAGATATTAACAAGATTTCCAGAAGGCATGCTGATGCCATATGAGGGTCAACTACAGCACTGGTTCTCAAATTTTTTGGCCTCAGGGTCCCTTCATGCATTTAAAAATTATTGATGATCTCCCAAAGAGCTTTTATTTATGCAGGTTATACCTGTGGATATTTACCATATTAGAAATCAAAATGTCTTAGTATTATTATGAAAATAGTTTAGACTTCAAGGATCCTCTGAAAGGGTCTCAGGATCTGCAGGGATACTTTGAAAACCACTGAATGGAACTGGGGCTGTTTAGCCTACAGAAGAAAAGATTTAGGGAGACACTGCACATTCAGGTATTTGAAGGGCTGTTACATGAAAAAGGGATTAGACTTATTCTCCTTGCCCACAGAGAAGATCTAGAGCAGTGGGCAAAAGTTGTAAAGAGGTACATTTAGGCATGCTAAAGGAAACACTTCCTAACACTAGATCTATCCAAGAATATAACTGACTGTCAAGAGGTAATGGATTCCCCCTTATTGGCAATCTTCGAGTAAAGGCTGTATGATCTCTTTGAGGATTTCCTGTAGAAGAGATTCTTTGCCAAATAAGGGTTAGACTAGACAGCTTCTGAGGTCTCTTCCAACTCTTAAATTTAGTGACCTTCGGCCCCTCTACCCATTCTAATTTTCCAGTCCATCACCTCTGCTGACTTTATGTTCTTCTCTTTATACTCTTGATCTCCAGCCACTTCTGCATAAAACACAACTGTTTCCTGGACTTGGATTTCATCTCAACCAAAGGGCCATGGTCACACAGTTGTGTGAAACTGGTTACAAGGAACTCCAGGTGCAAAAGCGAAAGCAGTATAGTGAATTTATACTTCTAGGAAGCCAACTCAAAATACACTCACTCATTCAATAAATAAAGTGTCATCTCTATATGCATTTTTATACCAGATGCTTTCCATGTTTTCTATTATACAAAAACTCATCCTGAAAAGAATGGAATCACAAATTCAGAATCTGAGAGCTAGAACAGGGTCTTAGAAATCACCTAGTCATAGAAACTTAGAATCTCAGAGATGAAAGGGACCAATCATGCCAGCCTGTACTGGGATGACAATCTCTTCAACAACTGCTTTTAGACCTTCAGTGACAGCTCACTCACTACCTTATTTATAAAGCAGTCTAATTTATTTTGGTACAGGGTATTTTCCTAATATGGAGCTGACAAATCTCTCCACCCTTCTCATTTTCCGGAAGAGAAAACTGAACCCCCAAAAGAAGCTGATTTTCCCAAAGTCACACAGCTAGTTAGTGTCAGAAGAGAAATTGAGATACTTACTTTTCTCAAGTATGTCAAGGACTCTTACTTAACGTTAGCTAGTCATCACTAACAATATCAAGGCCTGAATTAGACATTGTTGATGGGAGGCAATATAGTATAGTAGAAAGAGCCCTGGACCAGAGAAATCGGGACACCTGGCTCTGGTCTAGGCTGACACTGAACTGCTACATAACCTACCTTAGGCAAGTCTTTTTCCCTCTCTGGGCATCAGCTTCCTCTTCCAGAAAAGGAGGGCACTAAATCAAATAATTTCTAAACATCTTTCTGGCTATATTTTATTTTAAGTTCAATGTTAAGTAGCAGTTACCACCCACGGTATGTGCCACACTAAGGGTTCTGAGCTTATGGTATGTTGTATATGGGGGTAAATCATAACATTGCTACAAATAAGAAAAACTTGTAAAACTGAGAAAATGAGCCAGGAACAGTTGCTGCTTAAATGGCCCAATGCTGGATCCAAAAAGCCATTTTTTAAAACAACTCTACAGAGAAGGAGTTATTAACCCTGAGAAAACCCAACTACACTATTAATAATAATATACCTGCAAGATTAGAGGGGGAAAGAGAACTCCAAGGTGAAGAAGAAAGTATGATAAACTCAGAAGTACAAAATTTCTGAATCAGAAGGGACCTCAGTGATCATGCAGTCCTAGTTATACATAAAAACGAATTCCTTCTTCAATACCTTGACAGGTTATCATTAGCTTGGAAATGCATCCAATGAGGCATTTACCTCCTCCTGAAGTGGTCCATTCTAGTTTTGCACAGCTCTCATTGTTAGGAATAGGGCAGCAGTCTAAAAGCTGGTTCAGTGGATAGCGTGCTGGGCCTAGAGTCAGGAAGACTCTTCTGCTGAATTCAAATCCAGTCTCAGACTCTTAATAGCTGTTTGATCCTGGTCAAGTCACTTAACTTTGTTTGCCTCAGTCTCCTTATCTGTAAAATCATCTAGAGAAGAAAATGGCAAACCACTCCAGTATCTTTGTCAAGAAAACCCCAACTGAAAAAATGAATAAACAACAACACTGTTAGGAAATGTTTCCTTATATCAAGCCTAAATTTGCCTCTCTATTAACTTCTAACCATTGCTCCTATTTCTGGGACCAAGCAGGACAAACCTAATCCCTTTTCTATGTGGCAGCTCTTCAAATCCTTTAAGACATCCCCAGAATTACTTACAGCATGATCTCAAGGCCTTTTCATCATCCTGGCTACTCTCCTTTGGACATTTTCTAGTTTATCACTGTCTTTCCGAAAACGTGACACCCAGAAAAAGGTAACACAATACTCAATGGTATAGTCGGATCAAGGCAGAATTGCCTCTTAATGCAGTCTAAAGATCACATTATTTTGCCTACCACAGCACATACCTTCCAGGGTCTCCTAAGACCTCAATGATATAAAGGACACTGGGAAATCAGGAAAATCAGAGCCCTTTTTTATGGGGGTTTAAGGAAACAAAGAGATGGAGAATCTTGAAAACACACAAGATTCTGAGACAGGGTCCCTTAAACAAGTCATGACAGTTGTCTAAACTTCAATTTCTTCAATAGTTTGGAAGGTTTGTTTGTTTGATTTTGGTTGCACCTGTTCTTTTATATAGGGAACTCCAGGTATGAAAATTCCCTGTACCATGGGTGACTGCTGTTTGATTAAAGAATTGTCTGGGATACTGAGAGTTTGACATTTAGATACTAAGCGTTGGAAGGAAGATTCAAACCTAGGTCTTCTTAACTTCCAGGTTGGCCCTCTATCCACCACTTTCATATTCTGCGCTGTACCATGGAGATAATAACCAGATAAAGTCAGATGAAGCCTATAAAGCACAATAAACATAATAACCTACTATAGCTCCAGTAAGACAGGACACCGACTGCTGAAGGTTGGTAGGAGGGGCTCCTCCCAGATGAATAACAGGGAAGGGGGATAGAGGTGGGAAAAGGTCAGAAGCTCTGCTACCAGACCTGAGAAAACCTGATCTGTGAAGGGGAGGGGAGGAGGGAAAGTCCGTGAGCATTAGGCTGGTCTAGGGACCAAGGAATCTCTCAACAGGGTGAGTTCCTGACAATCTCTTGGTGGGGGTGGGGGTTAAGATCTATCAAGAGTCCGCGGATGGATAAGGTCTCTCCCAGGGATATATACACCCTCTCCCTCTCTAGAGGTGCAGAGTTTTTAAGGTGGGGGAAAGAGAATCGGGGTGTATGGGGGAGAGGAGTCTGGGGTCTCTGGGCAGGAGATATTAAGAGGTCAGAGAGAGATACTTTGGGGTCTGGGGGGGGAAGTGTTCTGAGGTCTGCTGGAGGGGATGTCTCAGTGTCGAGGAGATGTTGGGGGGGCGCATCAGGGCAAGGAGGAGATACTTCGGGGTCTCTGGGGAGAGATATCTCGGGTCCGTGGGCAGGGATCTAGGGGGAAGAGGCCGGCCCTAGGTCAGACTGGGCGGGGGTCTCCGGGCCCTGACAGCTGGGGTGTGGGGGGGTCTGCTCACCGTGCGCGACATCCCAGCTGTGCCACCTCAGCCGCTCACGCCGCCACCTCACGCCACGAACAGGACCGGCGCTCCCTGCGCCGCCTCAACGCGCGCGCGGGTCCCTCTACCCGGCGGCGCGCGGCCCCGCCCCCCCCCAAGGAGGGGCGGGAAGAGAAAGGGGCCGCGGACGGGCGCGCGGCGGCTCTGCTCCGCCCCGCTTCGTAGTCGTCTCTCCTGTGATTGGCCCGCCCTCAGCTGTGTAGACTCCGCGCCTTCCCCTCGGATCTGGTAGTGAGGGAGGGAGGGGTGAAGGACCAAAGGCAAAAGGTAGGTCAAAGGGCACGGCACTAGGGGCGGCGCTAGATTCTTATCAAAGGTTGGGCGGATGGGGAGCTTGTGAGTGAGGCCAAAAAGCGCCGTGTTCTGGCTTCTGATTGGACTAAATGTAAGGTCCAAAAGTCTTTATTGCAAAACTAATTCATCATGGAAAATTAATCCTGCCCTCCTCTCTCCTCCGCCAACTTCCTGCTTCCGTGCTTCCAATCAGTAAATCGACAAGCATTTATTAGGCACATACTGTATGCCAGGTATTGTGCCGGGCACTGGGGATACAAATACGGAGAATGAGATCATCTCTACTCCTAAGGAGCTTTGATTCTATTGTGAGTCCATTTCGAACTATATTCAGAATAAATATGAAATCAATAAATACAAGTATATCATATATGTACATTTGATATATAACCCAAGCCTTAGGAATGAGTTTACTATACTATCTATGTTAATTTTTTATATCTGTTTTATGTACATATGTTGTATGTAGTAAATACAAGGCATTTGGGATGGAGGGCACTCTCTAGGTAATTGTGGGTTTCAGGAAAGGTTTTAAGCAAAAAAGATGATGCCTGAGCTGCATTTTAAAGGAAGAGAGAGAATTTTGAAACAGAATCCTAGGTCTACAGATTATTGCAGCTGGAAGGCACCTCAGATGCCCTTTGGTCTTGTGCCCATTGGACAAATAGGGAAACTTTGACCCAGAAAGGAACTCCTACTGTCCTAAAATCCTACCACGAGTTTGTACAATTTCTCCCACACAGACTATAAGGCCTCCTACCTGTTACTCCATGGTTCCAAATGGAACTTGCCACCACTGAGTTTGTACAAGTTCTCCATGGTTCCAAATAGAGCATGCCACCAGTGAAATCTCCTCCCCCCTCAATAAAACCACACTCCATTCCCACCTTGAAGTCTGTTCTCCCTATCGTCTCTGCCTAGAATAGAGTATTCCCTCTTGTTCTCTGCCCTGTTCAAATCTCATCTGGATTATTGAATCCACTTTTGGGCAGAACATTTTAGGAAAGACATTGAAAAACTAGAAGGTGTCTAGGAAAGGATTGTTGTAATGGTGAGAGGACTAAAGATCAATTGAAGTCAATACATTTATTAAGGAACAACAATGTACAAGGCCTTGAGCTAGCTCAGGAATACAAAGGCAAAGAAAAATCAGCACCTGCCTTCAAGGAGCATACATTCTCCTGGGGGATATACAACGTAGATAAATAGAGCATTTATCAAACGTTTCCTATGTGCCTGCCACTGAACTAATGACTGGGGATAGAAACACAAGCAGGTAAGATGGTGCCCACCCTCAAAGATTTTATATTTTAATGGAGGAAGACAGTGTATAAAGGAATACTGGAAAAGGGGGACCCAGGAGAATCCAAGATTCCATTGGGAGAGAGATGCCAATGATGACTCCAGAGCAAGGGCATAGTGAGGACACAGCCAGGAAGTGTATACTGTGTGTACAAATAAGTCAATACAATGTGATTGAAGTAAGGAGAGAGAATTGAATTGGGTTAATAAGGAAATTCTTCCTGGAGATGATGCTAGCAGTGCCACCTGAGCCTGGAAGGAAGAGAATTATAATAGCTGACATACTTGAATGTTTATTGAACACTATATATGTGTGTGTGTGTGTATATATATATATGTACACATATATACATATACACATAAATATATGTATATATGTATACACACACACACACACACACACACACACACACACACATATATAAAATCTCAATGAACATCCTAACAGTCCTGTGAGGCAAGGATGCTGAGTGGAGTGGAAGAACTGCAAAGGCATTGCGCTCTAGGCACTTAGGATTTAGGGTAGAAGGAAGGCTCTCTTAGCTAGGCCAACAACACAAATCTGTTGCCTAGGACAGATTTCTGAAAGAATGAGTAACCAAAAAAAAAAATAATAAAGATTCAGTCAGTCAGTGGGGATAAAAAGAAAGGCAAAATACTGTCCCTGCTCTTATGGAGTTCATAGTCTAATGGGAGCAACAATATGAAAACAACTGTGTACATACACACTACATACAATATTAATTAGAGATAATCAGCAGAGGGAAGGCGCTAGAATTAAGGGGGAATGGAAAAGGCTTCTGGTCGAAGGTGGAATGTTAGCTGGGTCACGAAGGAAGCCTAGGAAACCAAGAAGTGGAGATGAGGAAGGGGAGGCATGGGGAACAGCCACAGAGTATGCCTGGAGTAGGAAGATGGAGTGTCTTCCATAAGGACTGGAAAAAAAGCCAGTGTCACTGGATCACTGAATGTGTAAAGAGCTATCATGATGCTGAGGATGCCTTCAACACGAACCTAGAAAAGGAGAATTAATCCGCAAGGAAAATCTCAAATGTGAGTGTAATAGAATATTATTGTGTTATAAGAAATGATAAATATGAGGAATTCAAAGAAACATGGAAAGATTTGTTCAAAATTACAAAGAATAGAGAAAGTAGAACCAAGAAGAACCTATACACAATGACTAGAATAATGGAATGGAATAGAATGGAAACATAAAATGGCAGCTGAACTCAGATTAATTTCTTTTTTTTTTTTTTTAAAGAACTTGGTGTTTCTTTTTCTTTTTTTTCTTTTCTTTTCTTTTTTTTTTTTGGTGAGGCAATTGGGGTTAAGTGACTTGCCCACAGTTAAACAGCTAGTGAGTGTTATGTGTCTGAAGCCAGATTTGAACTCAGGTCTTCCTGATTCTAGGGCCAGTGCTCTATCCACTGTGCTGCCTAGCTGCCCCCAGATTAATTTCAATGAACGATTTTGGTTCAGGTGAATTTATACTGAAGCATATCTCCTCCCCTCAGTAAACTGATAGGACTATGGAGGGGCAATGTGATATACACTGTTAGATCCAGACTTTTGTTGGTTGATTGGTTTTGTTAAAATATTTTGGGGGTTTTATTGTTATAAGGGAAGTTTCAGTGGAAAAGAGTACTGAATTTGGAGTTAGAGGATCCAAGTTCAAATCCTGACTTGCCACAGTCACCTTTGTAATCTTGGACAAGTCATTTAATCTTACTGAGCCTCAGTTTTCTCATCTGTAAAATGAAGAGGTTGGAGTGGAATTTCCAATTCAATTCAACTCAGTAAATATTTAAATGCCTGCCATGTGCCAGGCACTGTGATAAGTTCTGGGGATACAAAAAGAGGCAAAAGAGTCCCTTCCCTCAAAGAGCTTACAATCCAATGGTGGAAAAAACAAGCAAACAAATATATGCAAAGCAAACCAAATATAGAATAAGTAGGAAATAATTAAGAGAGGGAGGGGGAAGCTAGATGGTGAAGTGGATAAGAGCACCAGCCCTGAAGTCAGGAGGACCTGAGTTCAAATCTGGCCTCAGACTAAAAACTTGACAGTTACTAGCTGTGTGACCCTGGGCAAGTCACTTAACCCCAGTTGCCTTAAGAAAAAAAAAAGAAAAAAAATAATTAAAAGAAGGAAATGCTGGAATTAAGAAGGGTTAGGAAAGGCTTCCAGTAGCAGGCCAGATTTTATTGGGACTTGAAGGAAGCCAGGGAGATCAGTAGTTAGAGAGGAGGAGGAAAAAATTCCAGGCATGGGAGACAGAAAGAAAGCCAGGGAGCCAAGAGATGAAATGTCTTGTTCATGGAACAGTCAGGAGGCCAGTATCACTGAACTAAAGGTGAGGTCTAAGAAGACTAGAAAGGCAGGAAAGGGGATTATGAAAGACTTTGAATGTCAGAGTATTTTGTATTTGCTGCTGGAGGCAATAGGAAGCCACTGGACTTTATTGAGTAGGGGGCAGTGGTGACATGGTCAGACCTGAATTTTAGGAAAATCACTTGAGTGTCTGAATGGAGTATGGGTAAGAGTGGAGAGAGACTTGAGGCAGGCAGACCTATCAGCAGGTTATTGCAATAATCTAGCTATGAAGAGGTTCTGTACCAGACAGTGCCTCTGACAGTGCCACACTGTCAGAGGAGAGAAGGGGGCATATTCAAGAAATGTTGCAAAGGTGAAATCATCAGGCCTTGGCAACAGATTGGATGTAGGGGGTGAAAGAGAATGAGGAGTCCAAGATGACTCCTAGATTGCAAGCCTGAAGGACTTGGAGGATGGTGTTGCCCTCCATAGTAATAGGGAAGGTAGGAGGAAGGGAAGGTTTAAAGGAAAGGTAATGAGTTCTGTTTTCTACAAATTGTGTTTAAGATGTCTCCTGGACATACAGTTCAAGATGTCTGAAAGGCAGTTGGCGATGTAAGGTTGAAGGTCAGTAGAGAAGTTGGGGTAGGATAGGTAGATTTGAGAATCATCAGCAGAGAATGGTAATTAAATACATGGGAGCTGATGAGATCACCAAATGAAGAAGTATAGAAGGAGAAGAGAAAAGGATCCAGAACAGAACCCTGAGGGACACTTATAGCTAGACAGCATGATCTGGATGAGGATACAGCAAAAGAGACAGAGGAGAAGCAGTCAGTTTGGGGGAGAACCAGGAGAAAGTGGGGCCCCAAAAACCTAGAGAGAGGAGTGTATGATGGAGGAAAGAGTGATCAACAGTGTCAAAGGCTGAAGAGAGGTCGGGGAGAATGAGGACTGAGAAAAGGCCATTGGATCTGGCAATTAGAAGATCATTGGTAACTTTGGAGAGAGTAATTTCAGTGAAATGAGAAGGTAGGAAGTCAGATTATAAGGAGTTAAAAAGTGAGCAAGAAGACAGAAAGTGGAGGCACCTATTGTAGATGGACTTTTTGAGGAGTTTAGCTATAGAGGGCAGAAAACA